CTACCTGCAATTTCCTTCAACATAATTAGGAATAACATTGAGTAAAGGGAGCCAAATCTACGCATGTATAGTGCCACTGAGTGACAACTTTAAATGTTGTCTGTGTACCATTGAAAAGCAACAAGAGAAGATGACCAGGGTTCCTTTTTTATTTTTTATTTTTTGGTGAGCTAAAGTCTTTTGCCCCCATAGAACAAATTTTAATTCTACAGAATTCAGTAAGGACCTTTGCAGACTGCCAGAAATGGTGCAAATTGAGTCCACTTTAAATTGAGGCACTGCCCTGGCTCAGTGCAGGGAATCATGGGAATTGTATTTTTTTCTAAGACATTGAGCCTTCTCTGTCAGAGAGCTCTGGTGCCACAATAAATTACAGTTCCCATAATTCCCTAGCACTGAGCCAGGGCAGTGCCTCAATTTAAAGTGGACTCAATTTGCACTATTTCTGGCAGTCTGCAAAGGCTGTAAGTCACTGGTTCTCAGGTAGGCTGGGACCCCTGGGGACACAAGAGTTGATCAAGGAGGGTGCAAACCTTGGAAGCTCTGATTCCTCCTCCTCCTCTTCTCAAATTTGGGGGATTATATTCATAATGTAAACGTGAAATATATTTAAGGAATCTACTGTCATGTATACTGGCTTTCTTCCATTATGCTATTTAATTTCTTTATACAGAGCTAGCTTGTTAGGGTATGTCATCCCAACTCCCCATACACCAGGGGTAGATGAAGTGCAGCATGTTGGAAGACCTGAATAAGCAATAGCCTAACCCAGGGGTAGGCAACCTTTCCCCTTTAAGGGCCGAGGGACTTCAGCTCCCAGAAGCCTCAGCCATGTTGGCCAATAGTCCCATGTTGGCCAATAGCTCCTGGGATTCTGGGAGCTGAAGTCCCTTGGCCCTTAAAGGGGAAAAATTGCCTACCCCTGGGCTAAAGACTCAGACTAGAAATCTGCTGAGTTTACTCCCTAAAATACTCCTTGAAGGATAGATTAGATGTTGCCTTGCAGGTTTAGACACGTGCCAACATAATGATTAGAAAATGAAATGTTCAGAAATTTGCAATGTACAGAAAGTTTGAAAACATTCAAAAATATTCCTCAGTTCCTGCTGAGGCAATAGCCCTATTCAGAGTTTAGAAAATTGCATAAATTAAATGTGCAATGAGAATCGGAATCTTGTGGGGAGCTTCCACAGAAACAGGAAGTCCTACCTTCAGATATCTCTGCGAATCCCAGCTGAGCCATGGAAACCCACTGCGTGACCTTGGGCAAGGCACACTCTCAGCTTCAGAGGATGGCAATAGCAAACACCCTCTGAAGAAACTTGCAAAGAAATCCCTATGATAGATAGGTTTGCCTTAGGGCAGGGGCAGGCAACCTTTCTGAGACC